GCCGCCGTAGCGCGGTGCCTCCCCAGGCCCAGCCGGCGCGGGCCGGCCCTCGCGTGGCTCAGCGGTGCCTGGCGGAGCGGGGCCTCCCCGCATCGGCGGCGGCGGGAGCTGGGAGCTCCTTCGCGGCCGGAAGGAAAGATAAGCCGCTGCTTGACGGTAGGATTTCCGTGTCGGCTGTACTGTGAATTCGCTGCTCGGAGACCTTTTTTCTCTGCGTGCTTTGAGAGTTTTTTGCTGCGCGCTTGTTCGCTGTGAAATTCGCATCCTTTGTCTACGGTATTTACAGGTAGCAAAATCAGCGTGACGAGCAGTTGATTTGGGCGGGAGTTCTTGCGTGTGACACTTGAAACTGAACAAATCAGTTATGCTACGATACATTTAAAATATTGATCTTATTAAATGGGGCTACGTAGGGGAATATATTCGGGGAGGTCCAATGTAGCTCATACATCAGGATTTTATGAGCGTGAGAGCAAACTTGGCCAGGGGTGCGCCTCCTTTCGCATCCCGAGGGCAGTGGTGGCGGCAGCGTGTACCTGGTCTGCGCTATGCTGTGTACTGCAGCTACAGGAAAAACGTAGCAGATGAATTAATGATGAGGAAGAAAGTGCTGCTTAAGTAGCTGAAATACCCTGCTCGATGACTGGGAAAAACAGTGAGCTAAATTTCTGTCGGTCTGGCCCTTGAAAGCGCTTGAACAGCAGAGGCTGTCCCACCTTCACTGGGTTTCTGTCCTGATTCTCCCCGTGGTGCTCAGTTCTAGCATTTATTCTTTCACTCCTTTTTCGTCGAATGATGAAAGAGAGGATCGTAAATCTCAAGAGCTCTGGATTCCACTTTCGGCTCGGGAGGGAAGTGGAGTTTAAATTACAGATCCTTCTGGTTCATCCTTTCCAAACTGATTCGATAACAATTTCATTGCTTCAGAGTCCTAGCTCTGTCTTCACTCCTTAGGCGTATCATCTAGCTCATCTTTGTTATCCAGTTAGTCTTGATCTCCTTTTCTGGGTTCATGAAGTGCAGTTCTTTACCTTCTCAAAGAAAGGCAATTAGAAAAATTTTAGCAATCCTAATAGGGTTTATATTTAAGGAGGTATTAAATAATAGGCATTAGTCTGCCACACTTACAATCAAGAGTCAGATGAAGTGATGTGTAAGGAGCAACAACACATATCTAGCTATAGTCAATCCTGTTATGAAACAGAAAAGTGCAGATGTCGACAGGGAGAGTTTTAGCAGCTAAACATCCTGTAAGGAGAGAGCTATCTACAGTACGTGTAATTAAGACCTACCTGTTGCTGACAAATTCATGTATTTTGTTAGTAGCAGGCTCTGTTAGTATTCTTTGCATTGAAATTACCTGTGAAGGACTCATATTAGAAGCGAAAGTGGGGCTCACTGGCTCAGCAGTGTGTGTTTTATACCTCTTTTTACCATTTTAACTCAATTTGTTCCAGCGTTCTGAAGCGTTCTGGAACTACTCATGAGACCAGGTAAAACTCATGAGGCTTTATGGATAAGGAATAGGGAGCTGTAGTGCTCCTTTCTTCACATTAAGTATTGTAATCTATGAATATGTCTACCAGGCTGTTAAAATGTGCAGTTCAGAAGATCCATTCCTTCCCTGTGGAAGTGTGTGCTTTAACTGGACTTTGGTTATTGTAAGCTCTATCAAATGTGTGTAAGGATGGAAATAACTAGTGTACTCTTTCTTTTCTTTTCCTCACTACAGCTCAACATACTACCTTCCTTTGGTCTCCTTTTTGACATCGATGGGGTACTGGTACGAGGAAAGACTCCAATTCCTGCTGCAAAAACAGCCTTTCAAAAGTTAGTTAATTCTCAGGGACAATTCTTTGTGCCTGTAGTATTTGTCACCAATGCAGGGAATTGCCTTCGCCAGAAAAAAGCTGATCAGTTGTCTCATGTATTGGGAGTTCCAGTGAGTAGCTTAAGATTTTTATTTATTTATTTATGGTGAGCATGTCAAATGTCATATCTTCCATTAAATGCATTTCGGCTGCTCAGTTAATCGGTTTTTGCCTTAAGTCCTCTGAAATACTTTGTTGGAAGGCACTGTAAAAGTGAAAAATGCTGTCCAAAGCTGTAACTGGCAATGGTGTTTCTTTGCAAAATTGTTATCGTGGGAATAAATCTTTATCTCTTTCTAAATAAGAAACCGTATGTACCAATAACATAAAACTGCTCTAGCAAGCTGAATGTTTTCTATGATAACGTGCAAAACTTGAGCTTCCTGCCTTCCTTTGATATGAGTGGTAGAACTTTATTCCCCTCTGATTTGTGGGCTTTGCTAGCAGAAGGACCTCTCCGTTGTTCGCACGTCTTAGTAACGTGCAAACGTTACTAAGATAAAATCATAAAGTTAGTTCCGCAGTGCCTTTTGTTTCAGTAAAGGCCAATGGATATGGGCATATCTACAATAATAACATCTCATGTATCGTGGATAAAATAAATATGACATCTTAATTACTTTTGGAATTTTTTAGATCTGTAAAGCTAGTAATGATTCATAATATCGTCCTTCCAGCATAATTACTGTTTTGTAACTGTTGAAGGGATGTGATATGTAAGCTAAAAGATGAAGGTCTTGTGATACAGCAGAATCAATGCTGCAGTTTAGCAAAGTACCATAATTGGAACTAGGACAATTCTGATTCTTCTTCCCTTCTTCTCTCTATTTTCTAAATGGATTTGGTTCCTGTATAAAACTAGTAGAGAAAAGCTTGTGTTCTTATTGAATAGAGGAATTAAGGAAGCTGAAAGGGATGTTTATGTCAATTTGTCAGTATTGTACTTTTTTTTTTTTTAATACCAATACTTCAACTATGAAATTTGGGAGAGAATGATATGGTGAGGTTTTATGTAGATATGTGTGATTATGTTTAATAATTTAAATAATTTGTCATGCCTGTAAATATTCATATTAATAATTTATCTGGAAAATGGCAAGGTTCTCTGTCTCTCTCTCTCACGCTTGCGCGCTCTCTCTCTCTCTCTCTTTTTTTTAAATCCGAAACAGATTTCACAAGACCAAGTGATGATGTCACATAGTCCTCTGCGAATGTTCAAGCGTTACCATGAAAAATGTGTTCTCGTATCTGGGCAAGGACCACTTCTTGATATTGCTCAAGAGTATCCTTTAAAAAGCTTTCTGTTCAACTTTCTTCCTTAATCAAGGAAGGATCGAGGGAAGACCGAGTATTTCAGCATTAGTAATTCAGTATGAAGCAATGGTAGTTCCTACTATAATGTCAAGTTTATATATTAAGAATTGTTAAGTTGTTGGTATGTTGATACTTGCTCCGTTTTATTCTGTTCTTTCACCTACTATTTTATGTGGTGTTAATGGGGAAGGAGAAAAGAGAGAATTCCTTTGCTTTAGACGAAAAAGACACTTCATCCCAAAGGATTTGTGCTCTCTTGAGGATGAGAGCATCAGATTTTACAATATTCTGTAGCATATTATGTAGTTAGGCTTATCTCAAACAATTTTGGGGACGCTTGAGTTTTTTGGTCTAATAAACTTGTAGGTAGTCACAGCTCACTAGTCAAGTCCTTCTACTTAAACTATGTAAAAAAAGTTGAGTGTTGGTAAAATCGGTACCTGGAGGCTGTTCCTTAAAAAGCAAGTTGTTCTTCTGAAAGTTGATATTTAATTCATTCATTATTTTATGAGTGAACTTGTACAACATGTAAGCGCTAACAAGTGAATTCAGCCATCATAACTAACTCTTACTGGTAGCTCTTTCCTGTCACAAGAAGCTGTTACAAAAATCAGCAATGTACTTAACTGTACCTTAACTGTACCTTAACTGCCTGCAGGACAGTGGAATTCTATTGGGCAGCCTACTGTTTAGCAATAGACTCATCTTTAAAATAATTGTTTAACTAGCAATACAATTGCAGCTATGATGGCCTAAGGAAAGCACAAAGATAATCTTGGAGTACTGCAGGTGTGTAGGGTGAATTCTTCCTTTTCATCTCATATTTTGAGCAAAGCTTTCTATATCATTTCTGTCTGGGATTTCAGAACATACAGGCCTTCCATTTATAAGTAATGGGATGATCATCTTTTTACCTCACACAAAAAAGTCGATCTGTGGTATGTTGCTTTTATGCTTAAATTATTTGCTTTATCAGAAAAATGTCATATGTTAAAATTAATTGCTAAAACTGAATTAGTTTTTTTTTTAATTATTATTATTACTACTTTTAATCTTTTAAGGTAAGCAATTCTGTGTCCTTAACTGATACTTTCTCAGTCTGGGTTTCTGTCAACCTATTACCATTGAAACATTGCGAGAGAAATACCCTTTACTAGATGTGGTTGACCATGACAGAAGACCTAAAATTCTGGTGAATATATATTTTTGTTTTCAGATTGTTTGCTTATTAGGTGATGTTTTACAGTAGAGGCCAGTATTTAAAGTACAGAGCTAATGCTGTTTCTGCATTGCATTTTGACTTTACCTTTCTCTTCTGCTTCTATGTTTGTTTTCCTGCAACATTTTCAAGAGCAACTGTGTAAATTTTTTTTCCAACAGTGGTAATTCTTTATCATAATGTTTTATTTTTGTAACTTACTATTGTGGATACTTAGAATTTAGTACAGATACTGAATTTTAAATCTGTTTTGGAACGTTTTTGGGGTGTGTGGGAAGAGTTAATAATATTTTTTTCCTTCACTATAGGATTGTTGTGGTACTATTTCTAGGCTCTGAGTTTGCTTTGATTGTAAATTAATGCCTGCAGACAACTAAATTTTCTCCAGAGGTGTAACTTACTATTGTGGATACTTAGAATTTAGTACAGATACTGAATTTTAAATCTGTTTTGGAACGTTTTTGGGGTGTGTGGGAAGAGTTAATAATATTTTTTTCCTTCACTATAGGATTGTTGTGGTACTATTTCTAGGCTCTGAGTTTGCTTTGATTGTAAATTAATGCCTGCAGACAACTAAATTTTCTCCAGAGGATGGCTTTTTTGTTTATTCTATTACTTAAACATATTTAAATATAACATAAAAAACTATTAGTTTATATAAACAGTATAATAGTTTCGAATGAATATTGCAGAATTTCAGAAAGCAGTAACTGTATTTCTTTTCCTTGTATGGGCTGTCAGTCTCACTATTTGTGAGTACAGCACAAAGACTTGCGGAGGTATGGTCTATTTTCAGGTTCACCTAGTATTTGTTATTCACACGCTAGGCTTCAGCAATTGAGAGAACGCGTGCGAAACAGTTGAGGAAATGTTTACAAGAATGTTAGCTATAAAACAGTCTTAGGTACTACAGTCTCCATAAAGCATTTGCGGTAGCTGCTGTGGAGAAGGAAAAGTGGTATTTGTAAGCAATTCAGACAGCTGCTACACATAGGGGTGTAAGATTAATGATGTAATGAGAGGTGCAAATATTGTAGGAATTCTTTCTTTAACTGGAGCTGTTCACATTGCTAATGAAAACTACTATATTACTTCACTGCAAAACAACAGTGAAGACTGTCTTGCATTTTGTCAAACCTCACTGCTTATTCATGTTCTTGCTGGCTGTCTCCATAATCTCAGTAACTAACTAAGTGGGAAATAATCACGAGAAATAGATGCAATCTCTTTCCTTTGATTTTGTTTGCTGGTTGCTGAATATATTTGCACTGCAGTTGCAGCTGAATATCAGCTGGGTTGTACCTTGTGTTGATAAGCATAGAACTTTCAGAGCCAATTAACGTGCATTTGTCATCAGTAAATGTTACTCTTAAAAAAATTTAATAAAAAGGTGTCTTTTCCTTTGCAATACTCAAAACCAACCTATAAAACTTGTTGTTGAACAACCTTAGGTAAGTTGCCCTTTCTATTGAGAAAAATATGGAACAAAATGAAGTATGAAATTGCATTATTTAAAAATGGAAGTTTTTGTCTAGAAGCACACCCTTGCCAAACAAATCTGTGTATTGTACATCTTCAGGATCAGTTTCGGAGGAGGCGTTAGTAATGTATTAAAGAAGCAGGAAATAGTTAAGCCTTGGGATGATTGCTTTTATGGAAAAAAATTCATATATTTCACACTCCTGAGAGAGAGCTGGTCTTTAATATCTTTTGTGGTGGGCTTCACCTTATTTTGCCTCTATATAGCTTAGATACTTTCATGAACGGGGAAGACTCATTTTGAAGAGTACCATCAAAGTAACCATCAGTAGATGAAGTGAACTTTTCCCACGTAAAGTCGAGAAAATCTTTGTTGTGGTTCCATAACTCAGTCGTATCACCTTTGCGTTATTACTCAACCATGCAGAGGTAGAAGTTTAAGAAAATGTTAATGTATTTGTCGCTGAGTGGAATAAATAACGAAGTACAAACTATTATTTGTGTAGCAGTTCTTCTACAATACGTTCTTCTTCCTTAGCAGTGTTAATTTTTTTAAAATAATATATATTTCAAAATATTTTTTTCAAGTGTCTTGTTAATCCTAGAGGCTTTTGTTCTCCTGTAGAAAAGTAAACATCCCTACTTAATACACAAGTAAGTTAAGCGACTGAAGTTTTATAGCTAGTCAGATTTAAGTAGATGTAGGAGCCTTGAGATTATAGAACACGGTAATTTGTTGCTGTCCGTTTGCCACTAGATTTCACTTGAGAATTTGAAATACAAATTTCCTAGTAAAGTGACATCAGGAACTGGAGCAGTAGCTACATCAGAACATAGAGCGCATTTCCCGTCAGTGTTGCAGAAGGCAACTGTGGAAGTGATGCTTGAACTTATTCTGTTAAAATAGTAGTGGATGTTTAATCTTGTAGAAAACTCTTACTTTTTTCTTATAGCAGTACCCTTCTGCTGTGGAGCTTCCCAAGATTGAGGGTAGGTTATCTTTACTCACTTTGCAACTATCCGTTAATAGAAGAAATATCTTTACTGTATTTTTCATTATAATTATAATTTACTTTTAGATGGCTGGCCACTTTTAGAAAGATGGCTGACAATTCTAAATTTCCTTGTTAAGGGCATCGGCCATTAATGTAGACTGTATAAAGTGAGGTAAAAAAGGACTCTTTTTTAGCGTTGCAGTTTTCAGCCATCTGTATCTGAAATTTCAGAAGGCAGGTGAGGTCTGCGTTCCGTTTCATTTTCCTTTACAGGCTATTGTTGCCTTCCTTTTGAAAATGAAGAATGGATTGCCGTACACTCAGAATAATTGATCTTGTTCTTGTGGTAGTCAGGAGGGTCACTTCAGAGTTGGAATACAAGAAGCACTCATTCATCTGGTTTCAGTATGCTGTATTCACCCCCATCTCATCTGAAATTCAGGAAAATAGAAACCGGACCTTAGAATTAGAAAGCTATGATAGATTGTTGCTAGAGACCAGAAGATTACCTAAAAACAACATCTTTTTTTTTTTTTTTAATGGATATATGGCAATTCTGATGGATTATTTCAGTACTGTCCATAAATATGTCATAGAATTTACAAAGGTATGGAAAACTTAGAAATACAATTTAGAAGTCAGTATTTTGCACTGTTATGGAGCAATCTGGCCAATATAAAAATCAAATCATTTCTTAAACCTGTGGATCTTGCAGTGAGATGTTGTTACTTCTGAGATTTTCTGTGAATGAGTATATAATACATTACAAACATAATGTGACTATTTCATTAGTTTATGATTAAATTAATTGTTCAGGCTCTTTTAATGTTAGAGATGTGGTGCTCTGTTAACTAATCCCATAACTCTGTTTTGTAATTCTGCTTCTCATAGCTGTTGTTTTGTTTGGGGAGCCAGTCAGATGGGAAACCAACCTTCAGTTAATAATAGATGTTCTGCTGACGAGTGGCTATCCTGGAAATCCGTATCACCGTGAAAATTACCCTCATATACCTGTGCTTGCTTGTAATATGGATCTGATGTGGGTAGCTGAAGCACAGTCTCCAAGGTAAATGCAGTTGTAACACATATATAGTGTGATATCTTACGTTTTCCATCATTGCTTCGATAAAATAGACAATCAATATTTTCGTGCAAAAATGTTTGCTGTAGCTTTACAGCAGGTCTCAGCTTTGAATACAACTTGTCAAAAGCAATGGATTTTCAGCAAATGCTGTGTTTTGCCTTCTACGTTATTAGCTTCAGAAAAGTTACTTGAGATAAAACTGCTTTTAAGCCTAAACCTTTTTGTTTTCCCACTCCCCAAAGAAAGATATTTCTTTGCTTGAGGGTCTTAGCGTTTCGGACCAAAGGAAATGAAATACAAAAATTACCAAGGCCATTGTTGCATTTTATCAGGTCCTCCTTTGGTATTCCTCTTTTCCACCTTACAGCTTCTGGTAGGATGATGATCGACCCTGTTAGTTAAAAGCGGTGTATTTTTTGAACTAATAACACTGTAGTAAACTGTTCAAGGAACATAAGGAAAGTCAAACAGAGTACAGAGCAGTTTTGTTTGTTTGTTTTTAAATAAAAAGATATTTCTTTAATTGCTTTGGTTCCTTCTTTCCCCTAGTCTAAAATTTGGACATTGAAATAGAAATTTTTGTCACCACAACTTGATTGCTGGCTTGATCTTGGGGAGAAGATATTGTCAGAGATCCCTATTTAGATGCAAAGAACATCTCTAGTAGTACACTGGTAAAATATGTACATTTGGTAGTACAGATAAGGCGACAAATATGTTTACAGTAAACAAGATCCATAGTTTCAGGTGTGTCCTTTGGGAAAGATCCCATATTCAAAACAGAAATAAAGTTTGGTTTGTTTTTGGGTTTGACAGTATGACAGCTTTGCATCTGCCAGTGCTGTTATCTTCAGTATTTGACTATAATGCCATGACTGGGTTGTTTTAAGCTGTTGCTAATTACTGGAAATAACTTTATGCTGATTTACACATCATTCTTAAAACAGCAAACAGGGTGGAGAGAGGGAGCGAAGGGCTAATTGAAAACTCAGAAAAGCTAATTCTGTATCATGTTTAAAAGTGCCGTGGAGAAGAAAGCAGCTGTAGCTTTTTTCCTTAACTGAAGATCTTGATTTCTTGGTGTTTTTTAGGCCACTAGAGGTTTAATTTATTTATTAGTGCCCCTCATATATATCTGCTGGCTTCTGGTTCTCATTATACTGGTGTTTTAGGTGTTGTTTTTTTTTTTTTTTAAAGCTGTTGTTACTTGGTTTAAACAGCTATAAACATCTATGTGCAGAAGTTATCTAGCTGCTCTTCTTAAGTGTTTATGTATAATTTATTGTATATAGACTTGTTCTATAGCTATTTTTTATTCTTCTTAAGGTGATTTTGTTACTTTAGACTTCCTTATTTCTCAGGCATATATGTTCGTTCATCCCTAAACCCAAGCTCTGTATTTGGTAGTGAAGTAAAACTGCTTTTTAGTGCTGAGATTACATCTTCTAAATTGCTATTTTACTAGTTTGGTTGATAACCCATCATCACTGTTCTCGCCTTCACTGAGTGAGTTATTAAAAGCAAGTTTTAAAATGATAGGTTGTTCTTTGATCCTCCTTTGCATCTATTTTTGAGAGAGAAACCTGTGAAGTTTTTTGTTTCCACACTACAGAATGAATTTTGATATACTCCTATGTTTAAGGAGAGATTAATTTTCCTTATATCTGATTTCAACTTTCCTTTTCCATTTCTCCTGTTTATTAACTTTGAAATTCAACTGATTCTGCTAGGTCAATACAGAGAGTGGATCACAAGCTATAGGCATTGTTACAAAATGCATCACTTTTGTGAATTGGGCTGTTTGCTTAAATTCAAGTAACACTAACACAAATCATTATTATGGTTTACTTCACTTTTAAAATAGACCAGTGTGCTGTGCTGTCCCAATTACATGTTTTTATTATGAACTTTATTGTTTAGCTAATCAGCAGTCAATTTTCAGTGAAGCAGCTGTGGAAATGTGGCATACAAAGTGAGGAAAATTTGATAGTAACAGGATATTATTTATTCCCAGAAGTCTATGAAACCAAAAAAACATGACTTTTTGTGTACTTGATATGAATTATTTTGTCACAAACCTTTATATCTCTGCAGGTTTGGGCATGGAACATTCATGGTTTGTTTGGAAAACATTTACAAGAAGATCACTGGCAAAGATCTGAAATATGAGGCCTTAATGGGCAAACCTAGTGAACTGACCTATCAGTATGCAGAATACCTTATCAGGGCTCAAGCAGCAGAAAGACAGTGGAAGCAGCCTATTCAAACTCTTTATGCTGTTGGGTAAGAGATAAGTCTAATGAGTATGTCATTAGACTTACTCATTAGACTCTAATGAGTATGTCATAGCATAGGTACCATCAAAGAAAAACATGCAATTCTTACTAGTTTGTTTCTAATATTGCTGGGACTACCTAACATTCTTGGCACTGTGTTGCACTTTTTATGATGTTTTCCAAGCTTACTGTTCCTAATCTTGAAACATTAATATTCGGGTCTTTGTGTAATTTCTGTAGAAGCACAAGAAGTGATTTATATATTACTAAGATTTTTACCTATTTTTTAAATTTCTGAAGTAGACTATATAAATATTTAACAAAAAGGTTTTTTGTTGGTTTTTTTCTCTTAAGGTTACTGGTACAACATCAACAAACTTTGAGTAGGCAACGGAATATTAGGGAATGTAGAACTAGAACTGATCTGTGGGGTCATTAAGCTCAGTCATATGCTACTGTGCATGCAGTCACATCATAGAATTCTTTTCATAAACAGATAAAGCTCTGTTGTATTAAGAACTGTTTCAGAATCTCCAAGATGTTTGGAAATATAATAACCGTATTCATGGACTGCTAATACCTATCCTTGAATCTTCCCCCGCCAACCCAGTCTGCAATTTTCAGTATGGAGAATTATTCAGTTCTATCGTATGTCATGGTTATTGAAAATAGTGTGATAAAACAACTACAGGGTTGGACTTCTTCCTGTCTACATACTTCCCCATAAACCTTTGCACAGTCTAAAATAAACTGCTGAATCTTAAAATGTTTTCTCATACAATTGAAATCTGCTAATTCAAATTGCCCTGCTGACTAAACTTGTTTCTTATGTTTCCAGAGATAATCTCATGACTGACGTCTATGGTGCTAATCTTTACAATCGCTACCTTGAAGATAAGAACTCCAGAAAAGGTTCCAAAACACAAATTCAGGCCAAAGTTGCTGGTGGCAGAAGACCTGCCACTCTTTTTCAGGATGATGAAATAGACAACAGTTGGGAAAGTGAATTAGCATCTTCTGCTGCTATCCGTTGTAGGTCTGTTCTTGTTTGTACTGGCGTTTACAACCCCCACACAGAGGTACTCTCTGATACCAGGGAGACCATAACTGAAACGGTGTTCCACGGCCACAGGGATTTTAGATTTGATCCTGGTTTAGTAGAACCAGATCATATTGTACCAGATGTTGATGCTGCTGTAGACCTGATCTTCCAGCTGGAGAACTTTGCACCTAGTTGAGATGACAGGATTTTTTAAGGACTACTCAGTGCTGTGCTTCTCTCCCTCAAAACAAACTGTGCTTTAAAAGCGTGCCACAAACTACTGCTTTCTAAAATTTTTTAACTTTTTAACTATGATATTTTGAAATACTTAAGTTCTTGCTTTAGTTGCAATTCTTTGCTGTCCTAGTCATTATTTTTGGTATTTTAATAGTAATTTTTCATAATAACTTGTGCATATAACTGTAACAATTCCCACATATCAGTTCTTTCTTTTGCTTGCTGAAAAATTTAGCTTCTCGTTTATTGGGGGTCTGGAGCATATCAGATTGTGGCGCTGGAGTCATTCACACAGTTACAAATTGGTCGGTACAGAGAACAGTGTGTATTACTACTTGGTATCTGCAAGTAATAAGCTCTCTCCCAGATACGTTGCTTCAAGTTAGCGCCAACTTCAAACATGTTCTGCCTCTTCATACTCACATATAACTCTGCAGCATTTCTTTTTACTGGTTTTCCTATGTGTTAGGAGCTGCCATTACTTCACCATGTTTTCTCTCCGACATGTAAAGCTTTTAAAGAAATGCCCATGAAAGATGGGGAAGGCTGAGCTGTTAACACCATTGTTGGGGATTGCAGCTCACCTGAACTCAGTCATCTAAGGAAAGTTATCTTGTGTGGCATACCTGGCCTTTTTGTCCTTGCCTTTTTACCTGGAGTCTTATGAGGAATTTAGAATTTTTGTGTGCTTCAGAAAGTATGTTTCAGGCATTATCTGTCAATTGGACTTTTCTGCAGAATGCATGTAGCGGTTATTTGGGCAAAAGGTGCCTAGTATATTACTTGAAGCTTCATACAACTGTGGTACTTAACCTGCCTTTAGAGTAACGTATTTCATCTTATGTCAATGTTATATGTTTGTCGTAATAGTTCACGGGTTCTGTAGTTGTTCATTTAAAAGAATTGAACTTATTTTTATCTTATTTTTGTAAAAACATTTTTGTCTGTTTACATCAAAAAGATGTCTTCGAGACTATTTGTATGTTAATTGGTTATACTTTTGTGTACGAGTGTACTTTTGATATAAGCTTTGAGCCTGTCCTTTGTTACTTGGCAAAAATAAGCCAGTTAAGTGTATTTAAAAACTAAGTCACATACATAGAAATATCACTTAACATCACCTTAGGGCTAGTCAGTTTTGGTTTTTTTTTTTGCAAGTTAGAAATTTCACAAACAAAATCTGTAGGTCTTCAATTTTACTAAGTTCTTGCAGAACTAGCAGAATGCTAGTTTAAATACATTGATAGACACATGGTAACATAAAGTGAAATGCGTTCTTGGCCAAATTCTCCATTTACTGTCTTGAAATCAAAATCTGAAAAGTGATCATAAGGAGAACATTGCTCTAATGAAGGCAGATTTTTAGTGTTTTCACTGCCCTTTGCCCTTACCATTCCAATCCCAGCTGTATTGTCAGGAGCATTGATTTGTTCATTCATAATGTTTCATACACAGCTTTCAACCTGTCTTGCTGGATCCAGAATAAGTTCAAGGACGGTGTTGTAAACAGTGTATTTCTGTTTCTTCACTGGAAAAATATTAAAGCAGCCCTGTCTTTCTTGCCTTTCTTATTGTTATGATAAACACATATCTTTCTTTAGCCCTCTTCTGTAATATGCTAAATATTTGCCAAGTATGCCAAAAATTTCTAAGTAAAGATTGTAGCTAAAGATTTGTAAAATGTTGGGCTCACTAAAGTTCTGTCATTTTATATTGAAGCGTGTTGCAGAGCTGTTTAATTCTGTTTCTGGAAGCTGGCTCAGGCTGTCAGTGAAGCGGGGAATAAAGATGTGGAAGTTAATGAAGAACAGTAGAAAACTTTCATTTTTTTTTTCCTAGAAATATGCATGAATGTTTACATCTTCAAAAAGTTTATGAAAGAACTGTGTATATATTTTTAAGCTTCATCTGTTATGAAAACACTAATGCATAATGTATATGTAGAAAAATATCTGTTCTGTTGATAAGACTTACATTCCTCTTAGAGATCCTTTAGGCTATGTCTATGTTGCAGAGGCTTAAAGGTTACACTGATGGGTCTGTTTGAGCTACTTTCAATCCTTAGTAATTTAGTGCAATTTTTTGTATGAATGTATGACTAGGGGTCCTAATACCAGACTAAGGTGCCACTAGATTCAGAACTGCGTGAGTGCAGAACAAAACAATGGCAGTTGTTGCCACAGATGGTGGACAATGATTAACGTATAGGTGGGAATTACTATGAAACTCAAAAGGCAAATGTTATCCCAGTAGGCACTGGTCATGGTATACGAGTGAGCTAGGCAATGTATTTTGGTGAGATATCATGAAAAATAAATTTTAAAGAAGGACTGGAAGGAACGTAGTGAGTTACCTTTGAGGAGGTTTACCTATAGGTCTTGCCAAACATGAAGGACCTCACAGGATTCACTTGCTAGAGCTACTGCCGCAACTTCTGTGCAATGTTGCTCAGGTAGGTATGCTGGAATTAGATTGTGTGTTCCCTAATTAGTACTGCAACCACACATAGCATAGATCTATATGGAGCCTGAAAGCACACCGTTTTCTCAGGGTCATGTTACAGTGGCTATGTATACCAAGCATTTAACTGCAGTAAGAACTTTTAAAATATTACTGATGTTAGTGGTATAGCAAACTCTTCTCCAGAGTTCTAACGTTTTGCAAAATGACTAGAAATGCATGTGTGCTCTTCTCTTGGCAAGTCCCAGTCCGGTTTGCTCTCTTACTGAAATTTCTGGTGCAAATGAATTTGTGCTAAGATCTAGTATGTGAATTGGGTTTTTTGTGGCTCAGACAAACCTTCCGTTCCATCTGCTTTACTGAATTAAGACTGAATTCCAGCAAAAGACTTGACATTTTAATGTTTTCATTAACGTGACCCCTCAAAAAGGAGGCGTTCTTGTTTATTATACTATTATATAATGCCTTACAAATGAAGGTGCTTCACTGACAGACTTTTAACTCTCTGAATTTTGTGCCTCCTCTCCACTCAGGAATTGGTACAAACGAGAACTTTTTTTGAAGGAGTGTCATAAGACATTGCATCAGAGGTCTCTCGTGACCGTTAGAAACGGTACTTTGAAATTTAGTGATTCTTTGTTAACAGCAAATGAAAATGTGGAAATCCTTAGGAGAAATCTCAGTCTCCTTTACTAGGCAGGTACTTTTTTCAGAGTTTGTAAGGAAAACTGAGTTCAGTAAAATGTTCTTTCTAATTACTCAGCTAAGAATGAGATGGATAACTATCAGGTTAGGTAAGAAAAAGAGTAAGACCCTGTGTTTAACTTTTGCTATCCTTTCCTTTAATGTCGTCTTACCTGTGTTTTCATTTGCATTCTTTCATTTGTTTTCAGCTTTCACATAAACACTGAAACAGAGACAGCGTTTGCCGTGTGCTATGTTCACTGTATTTCAGTCATAACTTGGGCAAGCTATTGGATGGTATAATACCTCTTTCAAGTTTGCAATTTATTATTGAAACAGCTAAGTGATCAAGATATAAAGAAACTGCTTTTAGAAATCATTTAAAAAATACATCTGAGGATCTTGCTCAAATGTTTTGCATGTAAAATTTGTCCATTCAGGGTAGTAGTAATTTTTATTTTTGGTACCTTTTGTACTTTAAAAAAAAAAATTGAAAAGGGTATCCTGTACTCATTTTTACTGATATAAAATTGACAATATTTTAAACGCCAATCATGTATTGACTTTGGCATCATATGTGTTTCTTCAGTTTAAGGGATAAATGCTTCTTAATTTAGAAGATTGTATGAGATTTATACTTTAAAGAAAACACATTTTTAGATGTTGCTTCTTTCGTATCAACAGACTTGCATATAAAATTGTTTAATGTATCAAAGCTTGAAATAATCTTAAACATAATGAAAGGAATAATTATTTTATGGAACATCCTACTTTTATGAAATCAGTCTGCTATGCCTGTTGATACTACTTGTTAATGAGTAATCTTTTTAAATGGCAAAGTAAAATTAAAATACTTTTTTAAAGTAAAATATGATATCCAGGCAACTTCTCCTGAGTAACCTACAATAATCGGTTGCTGTGCCTTGTAGTAGCTTGCTTTTTTCATAAACTACTTCATACATGTTTTCAGAGACAGCTCTCATAATTTTGTCTTGTATTTTTCAGTGTGACAAGTGTTATTACATACTCATATGCTGTAATTGAATCAGATGTAGAAAAAATCTTTCACAGTAGTAAGAGATGAAATGCACTCTCTGCAATGTATTGGGGTTGGCAGATAACTATTAGAAAGAATATTGAGGATGATTCTCTACAGTTAATATTTTTGCTAAGCGTGAGGAAAAAATATTGTTGTTGGCTCTAAGTGTAGTACTGAAGTCTGGCAAATCCTTTCTAGAACTTTGTGAAGTTGCTACTATGAATTCGTTGTGTATTCAACCAGCAGCTTTCTTGAATTGGCACTGAACTGTACTGTGCTGACATACCCAGTGTCCTGTATTTTGAAGCATCCTGGCTTTTTTAGCTGTCTGCCTGCTGCTCTGTGACATGGAGCGTGCTTGGTGACTGCTGCAACGCCAGCGGAGGTGATCAGAAGATTCACACCAAAAGGCATCTCGATCCAACCAGAGCGCTGATGTGGACGTACCCGTAAAGGACCATACGCTTCGGCAGCGTTTAGGTGTTTTAAGTCCGGGATCTATCATTAAATCCTGGATACCCAGAAGAACACAGGTGTGTTTGGGCCGTGCTCATCCAGGGAGGGGAGAAATTTCCCCCCCCCCCCCCCCCCCAAGAATTTTAAGGGGATTTTTTGCTGTTTTGGTGAGTTGCCCTGTTCTCAGCAGAAGGAGGGGAATGGTTAAAGTAGAAGCTAGTTCTCACTAATCCGTGAACATTTGGTACTTGTGGCATGCTTTCTAGAAAGCTTCACAAGTTTAGCAGCCCAGGCCCATTTCTCCGAATATGAACAGATATCAGTAGGTATCACCTTTGGTTTTCACGTAAGAAAACTGTTCTTCAACGCGTATTTTTTGATACGCGCAGCATTTCTCCACGATGCTCGTCGTAGTTCTGTGTTTATTTGGGAAAAGAAACGGCACGTCCTTGGAAGGAGACTCTGGGGCAGGTTTTGTGTCAGACTCTGAAGGGGTAAGAAACGGTGACTTTCAGATTTTGCGCTAATCTTCAAAATATGCCCAAGCAACCTTTCTGATTCGAAGAGAAAGTTTTTCCCCCCCTCCCCCCACTAGAAACGTGTATAAGGATAGCTATATGGGGTAACTGTTCAAGTTTTTCTGCCTAGCGTCAGCTACCGATTTGCGTGAACGCGCCGCGGCCCGCGGGGCTGCTCCCGCCCTTCCCGCCCCGGGCAGGGCGGGCCGGGAAAGACGTGGAGGGGCAGGAACCCTCTTCCCTTCTCTTTGCCCGTGTTTGTGTAGATGGTAAAAGTAATAAAATGCAAAACGTTTGCCCCCATGCAGTTCTCCGAGGCCTAGGGTGTTTCAGGTTCTCCCTCTCTGTGGATTAGGCTCCATACTTGGTAAGTAGTAATTCGGGTTTAGCAAACCCTGAGGAGCCAAACTGCAGAAAAATAGGAGAGGGTGTCCATTAATAGCTGTATCTCCCTGTCCTTTTCCCTGTCTCGTGGTTTTGGACAAGTGCTAAGCACCTCGTCCCTGCAGTTTGACTTGGTCTTCTCTGTAGTAAATCTTTGCCTGTCAGGAAGTGAGGAATTTTGGCCTGGGAGCGTAAGAGCGAAGAGCCTGGCGCTCTTTAAAGCTCTCCCGACTGCTGGGAAAGATGTTTACTCCCCAGCTTCACTGTAGGTGTTTCAAGTGAATCCGAAATGTGCAATTTCAGTATGCAAGAGAGATTTATTTATTTTAGGATTTGCGTGTTTGTGTTTTAAAAGCCTGACCATTGTTTGGGCTTTCTTCACCAAACAAAATAAGCAACTGGGACGTGGAAGTCTGACCCAAGCGATATTGCTTGTGTACAGCGTGGGAAGGACGCGGAGCCAAAAGGCCCCTGAGCGTATGGGTGTTGTTTCATCAGTCGATTGATCTGCAGAGCGACTGGTATCATAGTGGGTTTTTTTTTCTGCGCACTGCATTTTTGGAACTTTTAATTTGTCAGCTCTTTGTTGTCTAAAAAGGTGTTTCTAACTGGTGCATGGAAAGGAATACTAACAAAATGGTTCGCAGAAACATTGCACAAAACTTTGACTTTGCCAGCATGCTACGTTTGTTCTCAAAAACAAGGATGGAATCTCAGTTACGTAAACTAATTTTTAAAAACGATTATTTCCAGAGTGCAGTTTTTCAGGTGCCAAGCACAATACTTGCATGTAATGACAGCAAGACCTCACAGTCTACCTTTCTAGTTAGTGAAGACAGTTTTGTATTCTGAAGTACAAATACATTTGAAGTTAACGTACATATATTCGGTACTTTAAATTATAATAGGTGCACAGGCTGCTGAAGGTATGCATACTTGCCCAGACCTTTCATCCTCACAGTTGACTGAGCTTTCTAGAGTCCCTGTCTTCTGTTTGCTAGTTAAAAGCAGTACAGGTGTTTTGTCCCCCACCTAGTCTTACCAGAGATTAATGGAAGACGGAAATAGTGACCTGAGTAACACAACGTGCCCAAGGGAGTTGCTGAAAGAGAGGTGAAAAGCTGCTGCTTTCAATGTCGTAATCAAGAAGCTAAAATTACAGGAGTTTCTTTAAAACTCAGTGCTAGGCTTTTAAGTTTTGTTAGGAGCCATTTCTGTTCAAGTTAGTCTTTTATTCAGTGGTATCACTTCATGCGGCCTATCCTAAAATAGGGTCTGTATTCAAATCTTGGTGTATATAAGGTTGGATCCTTGGGTAAGGAAATACATCCTCTTCTCAGAATCGACTGAAACGGCCTGCACACTGAGAGGTTTCAGAAAAGAGCATCTCTGTGGTCAGTTCTGTGAATAAAATAAACCGGTAGTTACTCAAAATAGCCCGAGTGGTAGACACAACCCACCTGAGGCTCTAGATGAGCTGGCCCAGAATCTCTTACTGGTCTTGATTACAAATTTTTCTCCTTGTGTTTTGTTAGTCTTGTATGCCTGGCTCAGAATCCAAGGTTACACGAAACTCGTCTCACGGTTAGACACACAGCTGCTGCAGGTTCATCTCGTACCCTCTGTCTGTGGCAGAGGCACCGCCTGTTGTATAGGTAAGAATGTTTCTCAGAATGAGAGATGGGTTTTCTTCTATAGGACTTGAGCCTCATCTCTTGTTTTATGGAAGTATATCTGTGGGTATGGTTTCTGCTAGTTTAACAACTAAGTTTCTGACCGTAGGGGAAAAAAATAAGGTGAACTTTTGCTCTAAAATGTAAAGGTATTTTTTAAAGGTGCAAGCTACATAATGGAGGCCAGTTTGCCCCACTATAAGAAAAAAATTGGATTGCGATGGGTGTAAATATTGTCCTGTATCCAAACTAATCCATATTCCTAATTAATTCAAGAAAAGATTCTTAGAAATATATTTTTGTGTGTATAAATAAAAAGTCCCTTTTGAAATGTTTGTCGTATAATAAACAATAATAGCACATCTGTAATAAACAAGCCAGCTAAGCATCATATAAGTTGTCATGGTGGTTTTCCACAGGAAACCTAAGTTACCCAGGGAGATGTGTTACTCCACCTGTTTTAATTTGTATGCCATGCACAATTGCATATGATACCACAGCACATATCAGAGCAGTGTGTGTGTCTGTTTATTTTTCCCCAGCATGTTCTTTTATTATTAGATTAGCCCCCTCGTATTCTCAGGGATGCACAAAGGTGTCCCAGGGAGATTCTGGCCACCTGTTACTTGCTCCCTCACCATGAGAGGTTTATGTTTTGTGTCATGTGGCATTTTGGAACGTGTTCTTCAATGACTTGGAGAGTAGACTACAAACTAGTCAGTTGTATGGAAAGAGGAATGTGTCCTTTCTACTCTGGAAATACTGAGAGACCTTTTTTGCAGCAAGACAGACATACTGCAAGCTTCATATGAAGTGACATACAACTTGCTCGTTCTGTGAAAGCATAATTAGCTTTTGAAGGCTGTGTGTTTTTCCAGGAAATGCAGAGAACTGTTCTACGTGTTATATTCCAGGACTGTATAACAATAATGGTGGTATTCACATAAAGGAAACCCAGCTTTGCATTAGCTCATGGTCTCATGTTACAGCCCTGGCATTTACAACTTGCTTTGCCCTTTAATATTTTTGTTTTGGTAATTTTTTGATTCTTTTACAAAGACCTAGAAACCATAATATAGATACGCAGTACACACATAAAGTACACTTACAATGAAAGGATCAGTACCCACAAAGACTTGAAACATTGTTAAGCATGACACTTGCATTATTTGTCTGTTGTACCAAGTCTCCACAGCACTCTGCACAGCAGTGGCATGTATAATCACATCCACAATGTTTCAGTAGTAAAGAATATGTCATTATAAGAGAATTAACTAATGTATTCTGCTATACCCAGCACTCTGAGGAAGCAGCTTAGTGCAAGGCCATTTTATGGCAAACTACTGGTTGTCAGATTTGTGCAAGTCTCTTAGCAGAGCAGTAGGCTGATTATAGAACTGAGTAACTCAATATTAGGCTCCTATTGATCAGAAAGGGCAGGTTTTAAACAAGCTGTTTAGCTCTTCTACTGACATTAGAATTAATGAGCCAAGCAGAAAGAAAGAGGAGTTGCTTTGTTTAATTTACAGTAATTAGATAAAATCCAGGATCTGAATGTTCCCAGGGGAAGGTACAGTCGTAACCACAGTATTTACACTTAATTGTAACCATGAAAAAAGGTGATCTTCACTTTTCCAAGATGGAGGACATGGGTTTTCATTCTTAGTCTTCCAGAGAGTTGTTCTGGATAGCTTTCCAATTTGAAATAATGTTGTGTGCGTTCATTTGTGTAAGTGACAGGCAGTTGTAGGGGTAAGAGGAAGAGAGTTAAACACTGCTTGTTTAATGAAGAGGACATTTGATTCTATCTTGTATAAAAATAAAGACCATATTGCACTGTAGATGAGAATACATAATTTCTTAAGCTCTTGATTTTGTTTCTGATAGTAAACTGTGACAAGTTACATGCATAAAATAACAACAAAATACATGAATTGCCAAACGTTTTATTAAATCTTTTTAATGATGCACAGTAAAATGTATCCACTACTTTGCTAAAATTTACAACAAAAAAACCAGGTTTCATGTCTGTTTAAAAATATTTTTTGTAATAAATTCATAAATAAATGAAGGTAAAGTATAAAAAAACTACTGTAATATGCAAGCTTGCTCCCTTGTCTCCTCATGATCAAATGATCTAGTCAGTATTATGGTAAGAAAGTTTAAAAGTAAAGTGATTATAAATGTGCAGCCTGCATCTCTTGAAGAAACCTTGAAAAACAGCAACATATTTTTCTTAGAAAATGCAGAATAATTTTAACACTGGAATTTTCCAAACCCCTTAAATCATTTTGGAATGCAATGAATGAATTCAATATGAATTAGAGATCTGTATTTTTTTTCCTCAACAGGTGCGTGAGCCAGACTCACTTGAATGCTGTATAGTCACTGGGGTTGTGCATCCTCAGGATACTGGGTTTTATATCCATCAGATATCAGTGAGTGAGGCACTGTTACAAAAGAGGGAAAAGCTGGTAGACAGCACTGAGCATTATCTGACTATCAAAAAGCTTAGCATTTCTCCACACAGACTTAAAAAAAACAAACTTTAAAAACGGTTACAAATAACTAAACTCACCTTTTGCTCAGTAAATGACTGAATCTCCTTCATGTCTAGCAAGCAGGACAGTGTCTAATCTCATCCATTGGCTTCCAAGCTGGGGTAGCCCCTGGTTTTGAAATGGTATGTGTATGTAGCACCATTTCAATGCTTAACTCTATTTGGTGAATCCCTTGTATTACTCCACCAAACTGTATTAGCAAAGTTATTCTTCTCATCAATATATCAGTCTATTAAAAAAATGTATATAGCATTTTATATTGTCAAGTATCAAACTACTTTTCACACTTAGAACGTTCTGTTTTAGTAACATTTATAAAGGGAAAGATACTAATTATACACAACACTGAAATATGGAATGAACATGAAAAATACAGAATGATCATGAACCTTTTTAGGCTCTGCCTTTTGCATGAATATAAATTTTTCTCATAACTACCTCCCTTTAGTGCAAAACCAGTTCAACACAAATTTTGTGCTTTTTTGCAGTGGTAAGAAATCGGTAGGCACCTATCTGTAGCCTTAACATTTCTGAAAATTCAGCTCTTAAAAATTCATTTTTTAAAAGCAGCTTCAAATTGTTAAAACAAGTTTGCATGCCGTGTTCAAAAAATAATCTTTCACACCCTTATTTTCACATGCAATAGTTTAGATGCCCAAAATCACACCCTCCTATCTTCAGATGGATCTATATTGCTTGGAGAATTTATTGCAGAAAAAATGGGTGTAGATCATCACCTATTCTACAGCACAGTGCAATGTAATAGACTGTTACTTAGTAGTTACTGTGAAGAGACTGGCTTTGGGGAGTATGTGAATTGTTGGTCAGGTGCCCCAAAAAAGACAAAATCTAAGGAAGGAAATACACAGTATCCCATCTAACCTTTCCCTCTACTTTTATCTGGAGAAGCTAGTACTTGTATCTTTAAAAAAAAAAAAAAAAGTCTTTTTTTCGGTGTCAGTTGAAAAATTAGAAATAATAGCCATAGAATGGGTTGTTAGAACCTGAACCATGCTCAGAATTCCCCAAATTCTGTTATGCCTAAACTACTAGCCTTCACAATCCGGATAACATGTAAGGTACTTTCTAAGCTAACAATTTACAGAAACTTGGCTGTTTTTAACTAACTATTAGATGTGACCAGTATGTACTTTTAAGATGTCTGATTTAGTTTATGGGGGAGTTAAGGCTTAAACTCCTAAAGCGTGGTCTATGGTAAGGTGTATGTTCTTTCTATCACTACACTATTAAAAGTGTAAATAAGTGACCACTGTTCTTCTGTTCTTGATAACCTAGTCTAAACAAGATCTTAAAGAGCTATGTTTAAAATGTACATACAGGATAACAAATTTTATTTTATATCATGTTTATGACTAAATTAAAACAAAAAAGATAGTCCATTTGTAGATATTCATCTGTAATATCAAATTTTGGATGGGTTAAGTAAGCCTTAGACAGAAGAAGCGGCTTAGATAGAAGCAGCTTTGGGAAGCTGCTGTACCTGCCCAACACCTTACCCTGCCCTACTAGTTCCTCAGATGGATGATCACAACTAATTTTGATTGATTTCAGAGTACAGTATTATATATGTTACACATTACAGATCTTAAATTGCTATCACAGAAGCAGGATATTGATAGTTGTACATATGCACAAAAAAAAATGCTGGTCTATCTGGTGACCTTTCAGAGTTTTGCGACAGGAAGATTATTCCTCACTTTTTTGCTAAAGTTGAGGCTGAAAGAAAGTGGAAATCAGGGTGAGCAGTTTTGTTGGATAATCGAATTGGAAATAACTCAATTGAACTCTATAAAAATGTCTTGCAAAAGAAACATGGCAACTGACTTGTGCCTTTTTTTTTTTTTTTAATGATAGCCTCAATACATTTTTATCACTTTATGATCCTGGCAACGTTTTATCTGATCATCTCAAGAGTTTGAAAGGTTGTGCTGGAGAAGAGATGCATGTTAACCACTTTGACCTCATAATGGAAGGAATAGGGTGTGTTAAATATAGCTTTAAACCAATTTAACAACTCCCCAAATGTTAAACTGTTCTGTTACCATATGTTTAGCAGTACATTCTTTCTCAGGAGAGACAAGTTAAAATCCTGTTGTAAAAAGTGAGCAGTAAATATTGTAACCATTTGTGTAGTGTATTGTTTTACATTTGGGAAGAAAATTATTTTCTTTGAACCGAGTAAGCATTAATGAAACATACCAGATTTAATAAGACTAAATAGAAAGTTCCCTAACTGCTACTCAGGCTTCACTTCTCTCATTCCTGTGAAATCATTCTAGTCACTTGTTTTCCACTGGGCCACTGAATCACATGGAAAGACAAGGCAGTTGTTGACACAATCTTCCTTCAATGGCATCTAAAATTATGGATGTAATACAGGTAACTGCCATTATCAGTATACACATAACAGAAATCCTTGTTGAAAACACATACGAAAAGAATTATGAGCCTTCCATACTTCAAAGAACTTTTTAAAAGCACATTTTTATAATGTATCTGTCAAATGCTCTCTAATATCAAGATAGGGGAGTATGCTGGCTATTTTCATCTAACCTCTGGCAACAATTCAAAGGACAGCAAATATCCATGTGGGTTGGTGTGTTTGTTTTGATTTTGTGACTGCTCTTTTCTGAGTAAACTAAAACTTGTAATATATGCATGTTTGAGGAAGCAGGATAGGTAAAGATAAAAAAATTTCTATTGGTGAAATAACATATGCATCCTATATTTTAAAAAACTCACATTATTGTATTGAGTGCCTATTACTATAATTTTACAATATAAAACAGTCTTATGAAGGGAAAGTAATAATGTTGTTACTCCCCAATTCCAGGGGGATTGACATGAAATGGCAAAAGACAATCAAATAGTCACCTGGACTCCAGCTGGAACTGTAAGACTAATTAATGGAGGTGTGAATCTCAGTGGGAGAATATGTAGCAGGGGAGAATATGTAGCAAGGGAGAATCAAGGAAAGGCTTTAATGTGATGTTAAGGATACTGCTGCTTGAGTGTAATATACTACTGCAGTATCACATGTATATCTCTACCTGACAGTCAGCTCTATTCTTCAGATAAATCTCATCTCTAAAGGCAAAGAAAAAAATGAGCAGCAGCTCAACTTTTCATGAAGTTCACAGTACCCTATGCAGTGTTAGCTGGGCTTCATTTAGCTTTACTGTTATTCCCCCCAAAAGGTGACCTGCTTTCCAGTACGGTGAGAGTGATAAAATAGTTAGCATTTTCCCTGTATTTTTGTCTTTTAATTGTTTTAATTTGTTTTACAAAACCAATGTTACCAGGTTTCTGGGCTGACATTTATTTAAAATTACATTTACATATTTATAAATATTTGTGCGAATTCCTTCCATGATGATGAACTGAATGAGTAACTGGAGATAAAACTAGCTTAAATCAAAACTAACACAAAGAATGACAATGCCCACGCTACTGGGAACCACGTTCTGCTGATGATTTCGTTTCAGTATTTACCCCTGCATTCCACACTTAACTGTTATAAGGCAGGGATCAATGTCCCCTTCTGTGTTTTTGTAACATGTCGCACAGGGGTGCACTTTGGGTACTGCCAAAAACAAATAATAAATACTAATGCAAATACATGGTCAGCCAAGGAGATCCGCTTAAAAGCAGTTCCTGCAATATGATCTGTTAATGTTCAACTGCCAGTAAACAGGATTCTTAGCAAATGTTTATGCCACAAATTCTGATCATGTGCTACTGAGTTATTCACTCGATGCACATTTCTAACCTAAGATTTGAAATAGAGTATTTTACTTGTAAATCTCAGGCATATTGCTACTCATTCTCTTCCTCCAGGTATCTGTTTGGTTTCAATAGTATTTTAAGTAAACCAAAAGGAGTGGGCTGCTACTAGTTAAATTACATAGCTGTGTGTGAGAGTTGTGGATCTAATAAAGGTCTTCAGAAAGAGAGTGAAAAGCTACAAATTGCATTTACTGCTTAATGCATTTCTGGTCAAGAAGCTAACAATCTAGTGAGGACTGTACTATTCTTAATAGACCAAAAAAATGTTTGGTAATTGAAACAGCCTCTTACCACTTACAGCCTAATAAGCACTGGGTTATTCATATCTGCTACTAACCTGAACAAATAAACCAGGTCTTCCATCTATTTCTTTGTTCCCTTTTGTTCAGTTAGGCAGGACATGCAAACTTGTGTTACAGTTGTTAAAACGTAGAAGAGTCCAGAGTTAGAAGATACAGCTGATGTAAAGCCATAGCCTTAATTTTCCACTGCAAAATGAAAACTATTCTAAATTCTTGCTTTTATTTGAAAACATAGTGAACAAATACAATACAGTGACACTGTATTTCGTGTTTTCTGACTGAAACAGACTAACCTGTAAGCAGTCTCAACCCTCAGCACTCATTTAAGAGATAAACCAGGGTAAATCCTAAAGACAAGCGCAGTGCTTGGTTTAATTCTACTCATTTACTAAACGAAACCCAGAATTAAGGAAACGGATCAATACGTCATTTCTCCATCTACAGTAAAAACAGAATCATTCACTGACTGCACTGAAAGCAGGATCTATGCTCATTTTGCATCTCGTTCCAGTTTTAAGATAAGCTACTATGTAAGCTACTGATTTTGATTTGAGTAGTACCAATACTTTATAATCAGCATCGCTTAACTACATCATTTGGCACTGAGCCTGCAAATACTGGGAGGCTGAGCTTATTTGAGGGTCCGTGTCCAAGCATGCAGAATTGCAGGACTGTTACCTACACATGTAAGCTATAATGTGTCATGAGAACAGGGAAACGCCTGCTAGTATTTTGCAGCTTAAGAACCACCTAGCTAGGAGGAAAAACAGTAATCAGGACTGAATTATAGCTTGGACTATCTTAATGGTTTCTCTTGGAAGACAGGGTCTGCTAACCAATAACCTGGATCTGGAGTTTGGGTAACTTTCATCTTCACTGTTTAGCTACTGCTGGGTGTTTAGTGTCTGCTATCTTTGGATGTAGAAGAGCCGGGAATGTCTTGGAAAACTATCTAAAAATACTACTGAGTACTGCACCTCAACCTGCCCTTCCATATAAAACATTAGAAATGTGAAAACTACACTAATTGAAACATTTAAGGCCCCTTCACTCTTACAACTATAAAACTTGAAAAGCTATCCTCTTAGACTGGAAGAAAACAGACTACAAAGCATAAGTATTTCTTCAGTAATCTATATCATAGTTTAAAAAAAAACCCAGAAAGATGACAGAATAGTTAATATTTTCTGTAGGAAGATGGACAGTACTGAAATTAGGATCTATTAGCCCTTTCTTAATCTTCCTGATTTTTATGACAGTGGATATGCCAAATGGCCAAAAACTGGTGTAGCCCCAGTAACAGCTCAGTCCATCTGGTTCTTTTTGATTAAGATTTTCAAAAGGGACAAGTGATTTTGGTTTAAGTGGGTGCCTTCTGAAAATGAGCTTCTTTAAAGTATCAGGATTGCAAAAATCACTTGCTGCTTCTGAACACCTTTGCTTTAACTGCAGATTTAAAAATAATCCTGCTACTGCTACCTTTGCAAATCCAAGTTCGTAAGGTGCTTGAGACTGTAAATCTGGGGAGGACTGCTACCATCAGTACTTCAACTGCATACACAACATATGCTAACATATGTGATAACACAGAGCTGTATCTGAAAGACAACTATATGTAGTTGGATTAGGAAGTGGATTTTACTTAACGATATAGACTTTTAATCAACAGTGAAAGATTTTTCCTGCTGAGTATTTTCAAGAAATGAAAAGCAGTTAGTGACTTGTGACAGGGAAAGGGAAGCAGATGAGTACAAGGTAGAAGGTTATCACTCAAAAAGAGGGTGGTTTTCTTACAAACAGGAAGTTGCAAGGCATGCAGTTTTCAGCTATTCTGAAGTTTTCTTTCCCACTCAACGCCTAGACTGTATTTAAGGGGATGTTTAAAAAAACCCAACCTCAGTTATGCCATTTAAGCAATAACCACTCTAATAACATAACGGCAAATGTACGACCAGAATGAACCCTGTATATGACCATTAGACGCATGCCAGTAGGTCATGGCTACCAGTCAGTTCAAGGTTTTCCAGTTCCTGTTTCCAGTGGTGCAGGTCTTGAGTTATGGAATGAAATTAATAGAATTGAAGGCAAAAATTCAACGACACCCACTTGGAAGAGGGAGCTATCGCTGCACAAACAATAAGAAATGAAATACATCAACCCATTCCTTTCTCAAGCCTGTATTTAAAATAATTAACCTGATCCAATCATGCTTGACAAGTCACATGATATTGCTCAGGCTGATTTGGCTATTTGTTAAAATGATAACCTAAAAATAAGAAAAAAAAAAACAAACCTGAGAGAAGGCTGCCCCAGCTGGGCCTGTACCAATAGTACCTAGCAATTCAGATGCCCTGGGACAGATGACTGTTATTTGGTCCTTTAATCAAAATGTTGGGTACTTTGACACTTGAAATACCTTTATCAAAGATACTGCCTTTTACTTCTAGGCTTTCTGGTCATTGGTGGAGTGCTGAGGATTTAAAGAGACATTTTCAATGTTGTCTATTCTAAAAGTGACCTCCTTTGCCAACAATCACATGCCAAATGTTTCAGAACTTTGTCTGTGTGTTAGCCTCCAGCCATCTATCTCCCCACCCACATCAACAGTTCCAAGTTTTTTCCTCCACTTTTGTAACTTACATGAAAGTTACAGAAAATAACACAACGGGAACAAATGTGGAGTAAGTTTTTGAGAGGGCCTGACTTTTAGGACTACATCTCAAGAGTCCCCTTTTAAAAATAAGACACCAAAGCAAACAGGATTGTGTCTAACTTCTACAAAATCGCTGGTTTCACAGGAAGAGGAGAATATGGCTACTGTGCTACTCAGCATTAGGGTGAAGCACCATCTAAATTCCAGTAAAGTTAGGGATATCACCTAGCTCATATCAGCAACCACACCCCCAGCCTTCTACAACGTCTTTGCTGTCAAGCTTGATGCTGTCAGTACTCTTCTCACTGAACATTGGGCCTCCATGCCTCATCATGAGCTCTGTGGCCATCTTCACAAAAGCCTCTTCCACGTTGCTGGAGTCTTTTGCAGAGGTCTCTATGGCACAGATGATATCATAATGTTCAGCCAGACTCTGAGCTTCTTCCAGCTGAACCTCTCGAAGGTCACTTAGGTCAGACTTGTTTCCTGGAAGAAAAAACAGAATAATTGAGAACAAGTATTTATATCAGAGTAAGTGTTTAGCAGAAGGTTCTCCGGTTGCCCAGAGAATCTGTGGAATTTCCATTCTTGGAGATTTTTAGAATTCAACTGAAAAGGCCCTGAGCAACCTGACACTAGCATTGTTTTGAGCAGGAGGTTGGACTAGATGATCTCCATAAGGCCCCTTCCAAACTGATTTTTTGTATGACTCATATGTAGAACGGCACATGTCCATAACCAAGGTGACAGGACTGAACAGCAGTGGCTGGAGAGCTTAAAGGAGGAAAATCAGACTAGAAATCAAAGCTAAAGCCATTTTGTGAGAAGAGAAAAGGAAGATTAAAGTGAAAACAGCAGCAGTCTAATGATTGCTAGGGAAATCTAAGATATATATATCTAGATCTAAGATATCTAAGATATATATATATATAATCTAAGGTATATATATCTTAGATCTAGTATACTAGCAGCCCCTAGAGCCATGCCTGAGTCAGAAACACTGGGTCTGGGAGCGAGAACTTCTAGCAGAGAACCTGAAAACCCCGATAGCCCCAGTGTCTTTCAGAATTCCCAGTCTGCCGAAGCATGTGGGTGTCCCAGTTCCCCAAAACACGTCTGCTTGATATGGTGGAGCTTCTCTGGGCTTATCGTCAGAATAGTTCCAGAGCAGATCTGCTTCAGAGCCTGGAAATCTTGGATACCCAATTCTCCACTAAGCAACGTGCAAGAATTTCAAATCAAGTTTTCAATACAAACCCAGCTCCTTTTTAACAGAAATGAATCAAAACAGATAGGCTTCTTAAAAAAAAAAAAAAAGTTTTGATAAAGCAGCACTTCCTAATTAAAAAAATTTGGAAATTTTTCAATTAGCTGTATTACATACATGTTAGCTTCCAACAAGAAAAACCCTTTTACCCATCTTAAACAGATATTGCAACTAACTACATTGTACAGTACTCTGTAGCACTGAGTAGTAATATTTTAACTCACCAATCAGTAATTGTACAATGTTGGAACCGGCATACTTTCTCACATCCTCGATCCAGCGAGGAATGGACTGGAAAGAGCCTCTCTTGCTGATATCATAGGCTAGGATTGCCCCATTGGCGCTTCGGTAGTAACTCTGTGTAATAGTTCGGAATCTCTCCTGGCCAGCTGTGTCCCAGATCTGCAACTAAATAAAAGAAAGCATGCAGTGAGACACTATCCAGTTTAAACACACTTTTTACTTTATACTTTTCAGGTATCTCTTTTATTTGGAATAAAGAATAAGAGTAACGATTTTAAAATACAAGTTTTCCAGATTAAAAAGACAGGATTTGATTCAATAGCCTTGTCATAAATTTCCCTTACGTGTCATACATTTTGCAGTCACTTCTTCCCCCCCAGTCCTTTGTTAATGATTTAAAGATAATAATGTGCACCAGAGAACTTCTTCATATGTGGCTGCCCAGAGTTTACATCAGCATCAGCTGCTGAGACACTTTAGAGTTCCTGCAGGTAGGCTCTCATGCATCCTTTGCGGCAGCTTAGGATAGTATCATTTTCACCTGTCCCGCCTTACCCTTTGCCAGTTTCTCTAGCAGAGTTAGCTAAACAAGACGTTAGCCCTCCAGACACTAACACATCTGGTGCGTTAGTGAAACTGCAGATGGGTTTCAATTAGCACATCCTCTGAGGTACTGATTTGGTTTTGCCAGTTCTGCTACAGCGGCAGTAACCACTTATTGGTGGGAGTTGGAATAGGAGGTGGTGGCATCATGTGAGAGCACCAAGGCTGTTTGATAAAGGAATGTGAGACAAAACCATAGTATACAGGTAGTGCCAGGATTTCTAGGTTTCAGTGAAGTCAGTCAAAGATCTAGATGCTCAGCAACTTGAAAAACTTCCAAATGGATAGCCATGTTTTATCTCTTTTTTAGAAAAACATAGCAAATAAAAGCTTCCTTTGATACATAAGGAATATGAGGTTGTTGCAAAAATTCTCTGTTAGTCATCCTATCCTTTTTTAGGTGACAGAACAGGCATTACATCTGGACAGGAAGATGAAATGCTCAGTTTACATACTTTTGCCTGGATCTAAGAACCATGCTTCTAGGATCAGGATTTGAATTCTTAGTATTAGGTGTTCCAGAGGAAGGAGCCAAACAACACAGAGTGGACAAACAAACTATCCTGCTCCTAGGGAAAATTTCTTTTTAAATCCTTTTGTTTTAAAGGTTGCCTTATGTCCTGGAACATGATAGCTTATATCCCAAGAGCTATGCATTTAAAGTAACTGTGGATGTTCTCGTTCTCCATATAAATCTCTAACCCTTTCTGAATCCTTCACAGTTCTTGGCCTCAGTGTATAATAGCAATGAATACCAAAGATTTTTTTTTTAATCAGTTTTTAATTTTCTATCTTTGTTTCACTTTTTTTCCTTCTATCTCCAGATGATAAGTGACAGAGCGCTGCTCGCCTTTTTGTGTCATTCATTATATTCTGCCTCTCCTCTTACTTGAGAGAGGACATAAGAGAATGCTGCTGGTTTTTTTAATCTTCCCATATTGGGGACTTGCTATTTATTTGTTCCTCTCTCTCTGAACCTCTTTCTTTTCAAGAGCTGACAACAACTTAACACAATCTACCAGTGATGTTGTATACTTAGTAATATGGAACCATTTTCCATTTATTTATTTTGCATATTAGTATTTTGTTTCTATCTTCTGTCCCTGCTGCATGTTTAAGCAGAAATTTTCATTTTGCAAAAGGCTGTACTGATCAGATTACTTTCCAGTGCTAGCTAAACATTTAGAACCCAAATGATATATGTACAACTTGAAAGGAGTTAATCTAATGAAAAAATACTTCTCAGTTCTGGTAAGAGTTTTCTCAGAGAAGTGGAAGGGACTGTAATGGGCTCAGAAAATGGAAAACCACAAACCAATGATTTTTAATGGAACAATTAATGATTTAGAGCAGCCAATAGACAATTACTAGAGGCAAGGAAGTTTGTGGTGCGTTTATGGTGTCCTCTGTACTCAAGTGTCTCCCATTAGACCTCTGTGTCTGTTACGTAGTTTTAAATCTAGGTACTTGATTAGGTCAAGTGCAAAAAAAGGCTAATGATAATTACCCAACTCTTGGGGGAGGTCTGAGAGATACTGTGCATATAGAAAAATTATAAACTTTGCTCATAAAAGACACTTGTTTTAGGCTACACTTTTCACATGGCACAAATAAAAGTGATTTACCTGTAGGGTGATTTGAGTAAGCCAGTCTTGGGCCTTATGCTGTACACTGAATTTTGAAAACCTCTGTATATATGCAACTTTCATAGAATCACAGAATCACTGAGGTTGGAATGGATTTTTGGAGTTGACAAAGCCAACGTCCTGCTCAAAGCAGGGTCAGCATTGAACTCTGACTGGGTTACTCAGGGCTTTGTCCAGTCAGGTCTGTTTATTAACATCCTTCTTGTATTGGGAGGCCCAAACCTGGCTGCGGTACTCCAGAGACGGTCTAATGACTATCACGCAAAGGGGAACAATCGCTTCCTTTGATCCATGATCTAGTGACCATGCTCCTGTTGATACAGCCCAGTGTGATATTAGCCTTCACCACTGCCAGGGCACGCTGCTGTCTTATGTTTAGCCTATTGTCTGGAGGGTCTTTTTTAATAGAGCTGCCACACAGGCAGTCATTCCCCAGCCTGTACTGATGCAGGAGCTCAGTTCATTCCAGGACCCTGCATGTGTGCTTGTTGAATTTCATGAAATACCCGTCAGCCCATTCCTCCAGCAGGTGTAGGTCCCCCTGAATGGCAGCCCTGCCCTTGAATTTATCTACTACATCCTCCAGCGTGGTGCTGTTTACAGCCTTGATGAGGCAGCATTCCATTTCCTTCTCCACATCACTGACAAAAATATTAAGCTGGACAGGTTCCCAGACAGACCCACGTGGTCTTCACGTAGAGTATGAAACATGAACAATTACCCCTTTTCACCAGTGATCCAGCCAGTCTTTCTCCCATTTAGTAGCCAAGCCATCTAGTTCATAATGCCACAACTTGGATATAAGAATGCTGTGGGAGACCACGTCAAAAGACTTGCTAAGGTTACAACGTACAAAATCCATTGCTCTCCCTTCATCCACAGAGCCAGTAATTTCATTAGAGAAGGCAATCTGGTTGGTAATCCATGGTAAATCCCTGCTGACCATTTCCAATCACATTCTTCTCCTTCATATGCCCAGAAATGGCTTCCAGGAGGACTTGCTCCACGATTTTCCCAGACACCAAAATGAGGCTGACGAGCCTGTAATTCCCAGGATTTCTTGCCCTTTTTGAAGATGGGTATGATACTTGCCGTTCTGTAGTCATCACCCATTTCCCCAGCTTTGCAAAGATGATGGAGAGCAGCCTGACAATGACACCAGCTAGCTCTTGCAGCAGTCCTGGATTTTTTTTTTTTTACACAAGTATCTATGTCTGTATGTTTGCAGGACTGAACCTACAAAGTTGCTGAAGTCCTGAGCGTCCAGCTGCAGAGACCGCAGCTTCGACCTTCTGAGGAGCTCAAACAGCAGTCTTCCTCCCCTGCCACATCT